GAAATGCTAGCATTCATATAATCAATTTCAGAACCTGAAAAGGAGAAGAGAAAAAAAAAGTGGGCTGAAAAAATACTTAAAATAATGACTGAAATGTCTTCTATTTGACAAGAGACATAAACCTACAGAGCCAAGAATTTGAACAAACCTCAGAGAAATCCATGCCAAGTTAGATCATAGTCAAATTTCTGAAAACTAAAGAGAAAGAAAACTTTTGAAAGCAATAAGAGAGAAATGAAACCTTACCTATGAGAAAAAAAAATAGAATGACATTGGATATCTCATCAGATACCATGAGACCAACAGGCAGTGGCAAAATGTGCTAATTAGAATTCTGTTTACAGTGAAAATGTCCTTCAAGAATGAAGGGGAATCCAGACAGTGTCAGGTGAAAGGAAACTAAGAATTTTTACCAGCACACCTACCCTCAAAAATTGGCTGTGGAAAGTTTTTTGTAGACAAGGGAAATGATAAAAGGAATGTAGGAATGCCAAAAAGGGAAAGAGAACATAGTAAAAATAAACAAAATAGGTTTTCCAAATTATGTTTGATTGTTGGAGCAAAATTATGGTATGATGTGGTTCTGTACGTAGAAGAAATTATTTAAGGGGAGAGTGAAAGTACATAAGGTAATGTTTGGTTTCTATATTTCATTAGAACTAGTAAAATGACTTCAGTAAGTTGTGATGGTACCTCTAAAATGTCTATTTGAGACATTCACTCAAATATTATGTGTGTGTGTGTGTGTGTATAAAAATACATATATATAAATACTATATATAAATACTTTCTTAAAAAGTCCTGTGCAAGTAATGCATAGTAAGGCAAGAAAAGTTAAAAAGAGGAAAAATAAAGATAATAGAAAAGTAAAAGTAAATGACCTATATGCACCATTAAAAGAGAGACCAGAAGAAGGGATTTTTAAAATGACTTAACTACCATATTCCTTAATGACAGGAATGTTTTCTGAAAAATTTGTTGTTAGACACCTTTACCCTTGTGTTAATAGCAAAGTGTATAACACATAGACCTGGATTGTGTAGCCCACTATATACCTCGGCTGTATGGGATAACCTACTGAGACCACTGTCCTCTAGAAACAGTCACTGAATGATTCATAACTATATATTGTCTACTAGAAACTTACTTCAAATTTAATTGTAGCTATGTAGAAAAATCTCAACTAAGCTATAAAGACAAAAGAATAATAGCAACTAAAAATACCTTCCTACCTCTAAGTGAGTTCAGCAAGGTCATAGGAGAGAAAATCTACACACAAAAATCAGTTGCATTCCATACAGTAGAAGTGAACACACTGGAACTGAAATTAAAAATACTAAGCATTTACAATTACCAAAAAAGTAAAAGTATAAATCTAACAAACTAGACACTGAATTTGTGTGTTTAGAATTAAAGAAATCAAATAAGACCTAAATAAGTGGAGAGATAAATCATGTTTGTGAATTAAGACTCAACATAATAAGAAATCCATCCTTAGCAAATTGCTATTCATGGTTAACACAATTCCCACCAAAATCTTAGCAAATTTTTATTTGTAAATATAGAGATAATTATTCTAAATTTTATTTTGAAAGCTGAAAGAATTAGAATCAGTGTGCCCCATTTAAAATTTTATTAATTGAAAATTTTAGGCAAGTCATATACTCTCTAAAAACAAATTAACAAGAACGATTAATTAGCTAGTAACAATGATCGAGACTGTATGGTATTAATGAAGACATAAACAAATAAATCAATGGAACAAATAGATAACCCCAAATAGGTCATACAATTATAGCAAAGTGAATCTTGACAAACATGCAAAAACAATTCAATGGGGGAAAAATACCTTTTTCAGTAAAATGTGCTGTAGCAGTTGCTCATTCCTAGAGAAACGAACCTTGATTCAAGTTTTTCACCCTCTACAAAATTTAATTCAGAACAGATCCAGACTTAAATGTAAAATATAAACTCGTGAAGAGAAACACAGAAAATCTTCAAAAGCAGGACTTGGCAAAGAGTTTTTAGAATTGACATCAAAAACTCAAACCATGAAAGGAAAAAAAATCTATAAATTGTATCTCATCAAAACTGAAAATGTTTGCTTTGCAAATGACCATGTATATAGGGTGAAGAGACAAATTGTGGATTTGGAGAAAATACTTGCAAATCACATGTCTGACAAAGGACTGATATCTAGAATGCTTTTAAAATCTCTCAAAAATTAATAGTCAGAAAACCCTAGCTATCAATTAGAAAATGGTGGGAAGACATGGAGAGAGGTCACCAAATACTGATATTATACACAGATGGGGTAAGCACTCAAGACATTCAACACTAGGCAAATGCTTGAACCTGCTCCAAGATACTACTACACACCTGACAGAATTCGGAAAAAAAAAAAAAAGTGACAACACTGAATGCTGACAAAGGTATTGAGAAACTGAATTTCTCATATATTCCTAGAGAGAAGGTAAAATGGTCAGCCCTTTGGGAAACATTTTGGCAGTCTCAAAAAGTAAGATGGTCCGTTTTCATCCAGTCCAGCGATTGTGCTTCAGAATATTTCTCCAAGAGAAATGAAGGCTTATGTCTACACAAAAACTTGTGCCTGTGTAAAAACACGTGCAGCTTTATTCACAGTAACCCCCAAATGGACACAACCCAGATGTCCTACACCTGGTGAATTGTTTAACAAAATATGTAATATAGCCACACTGTGGAATACTACATACATGGAAATGCTGAATGAAAAAAAAAAAAATCCTAAAAAGGTTACATACTAAATGACTTGATTTATATAACATACTTGAAATGACAAAATTTAAAAATGGGGGTGGCAAGTTAGGAGTTCAGGGGTCGTGTGCATGAGGAGGGTATGGGGGGGAGGGGAGCGGCCTTGGCTACGGGGTTTTGGAATGTTTTGGCATCGTGACTGCATCAACGTCTGTCAAAATATCTTGGTTGTAAGATTGTCCTATAGTTTTGCAAGAAGTTTCCATCGAGGGCCAAGAGCGCGTAGCAGCTCTCTGGATTCTATCTTGTGCCATGCGAATTTACAAAGCTCTCAAAAAGCCATATACAGAACAATCTCTTTACTCTCATATTCCCAACCTGCTGACCATGTTTTCAGTTACCAGAAGGAACACTTCAGGCTCTCAACCACCATGTCTAGTGGGCTTCTGCTCATAGCCCAGCCAGCTTGGTCCTCCAAGCTTTCACACTGTGTATTTAAAACATGGAATGTCAGGTCTGGGAAATTTTGTAACAGTTGTTGCATAAACGGTCACTTTGTTGGGTTTTGGGTCTCACCAACCTCCGTGGATAACCATTCAAGTAAATCAAATTGTCCATAGCTCCGCCAGCTTCAAGGCCAGCCCCCCACTCCTGCCCTGGGGCTGCAGCCTTCAGTCCAGTACTGCAAAGCTGCCCCCAAAGTCTTTGAGCCACTCCTGGTGATGACCTCCCTGAGGCCACAGAGCAGGCCAAGCTACTTTGCAGCGTTCACAACCCAAGCTGCTGCTTAAAGGCTTCATTTTGTAAGTCAGACCCTAGGGTCAAGGCAGTGTAGATCTCACTGTAGACAGACAGGGTGACATTGAGACATCAGTTTTGAGACAACAGCAGTTGTTTGCAACACTGCTATGATGTAAAGTTGCTTGTGAAAGATGGAAGGACACGGAGGTCTGCTGAGGTCAGTGTGAGCAGGGACATTTCTCATACTTCTTGGGGCTAGAAGTATTGACGTTCCCAGCCTGCAGGTGGGGAGATGGAGGTGCACACGGCAAAGGAGAAGCTGATGTGAACCCAGATGGTCTGAACTCTAAGTCCATTGTGCGTTCTTGTACCCCAGTAAGCTACCTTACTCTGGCCTGTGTAGATGCACGGGGGCTTTTGTTTGGGGGGCTGGTTCCTGGGCATAGAAAGGCCTGCTGGGAAGGGGTTAGAGGGACAAGCTCTGCGCCACTCTGCCTCCCCGGCCCTGGCTTTGGGGTGTATGTGTGTGTGTGTGCCTGTATGTATGTGTCATGTGTATGCCTGGATATGTCTGTCTTACCAGGGTTTCTGTGAGGGGGGAGGGGGACTGTTCCCTTCTGCTGGGTTGTGTCTCTGGATGCCATGAGGCTGTGTATTGAGTCGGTATGTCCCTGTGGGCCGGTCTGTGTGCATGCGTGTAGTGTGCATATCTGTGTGGGTTTGATATCTCTGTATGTCTCTGCATATGTCTGTGTTGGCTTTTTCTGTACAGGTGGTATCTGTGTGAATCTGTATATAGTGTGTTGGTAGAGGGGAGATTTGTGGGTGCGCATGGTGTGTGTGTGTGTGTGTGTATGGTTTGTGTGTGTGTGCACACGTGTGGGTGTGGTGTGTCTACAGTCACTGAGACCTCTGAGCCCAGGTCTTTTCAGGGGGGCTCCCCAGGCAGCCACACCAGGGCGCGGCCGCGACATCGGGCGGGGAGGAGCGCGTGCTGGGTTCGCGGGCTGCGCCCCTGCTCCTCCCCGCAGGGCCGGGCA